AGAACATTTTTGGCTTATAAACTAAAATTTTAATTTTTTTGGAGTTTCCTCCCTTTCTATTGCAAAGATCCTATATCATATAATAATTATTTAAAAATAAAATTTTATTAAAACTTATTAAATAATTAATTTTTAATAATATATTTAAAAATAATTAAAAATAATTTTAACTTATAAATAAAATTGCCTATAAAGTTGTTAGCAAAATAATTAAAGAGATAAAGATTTATAATCTATAATTATTAAATTATTAAAAGTAAATCACTAATTTTTAGATTTAAAAACTTATATAATTTAATGATTTATATCAGATTTTCTTAAGAAAATTTTAAGCATTAAATTTTAATGAGAGTTACTAAATAATATGCTTATATTAGAAGATTACAATATATTACTGTTATATTAAATATAAGATTAGAAATTATCCATTTTATTAAATAGAAATATAAAATAAATATTAGTTTATAGATTTTTTTTATTTTTAGTAGTGATGACAATCTTAGAGAAAAAATACTTTAAAATTATTTCTGTATTACTACTTGAACTAATTAAAGTATTATATAATTAGTTTAAATATACAAATGATGTGTTAAGGTCTTTTCACTATAGATAAAATTTTGAGTAATGAAGGTGATTAAATAAATCAGAGAAATACGAATTTATTTACATAATATTTTAGTTATTCAAATTAGAACTGTAATTGCCATATGTATAAAAGGTATTTAAAATGAAAAGGAATGTTTTAAAAAAAATGTGATACATAAATAGAAATAGAGATAGTTCAAAAAGAGTGACTCTGAGTCAGTTTAAAACTGATAATAAATTTAGCATATTCTAGATTTTTCTGAGTTACAAAACATTTTTAACCAATTTTAAAAATTGAATCAAATGATTTTCTGCAGTAATTAAGGATGAATTCTGCATGTAATAAAAAGTTAATTCTGTGAAATTCTGTGATTTAGCCAGAATTATGCAAGATCAGCCAACATTACGATGATAATCGGGGCAAAATTTTGAAAAATTATCGTGAAATTCTATGAAACACAGAAAATCATCGTCCCTGCTTCTGGGATTCCTTGACGTACACCCCATGTGTACAGTCTTTAATGTACATGCTGACCGGCATTGTAGAACTTTGGCTAGCATTAAAAAATATAGGGGATGACATAAAGTATGTGACAATTAGGATTTTTATAAGTAAAAAAATTCTCTATCCCCCAGAATATATAGTAAAAACGAAACGCAGAAGGGCGTTATACTGGGTGACATGTATCAGCATGTATATTAAGATCGTACACATGGGGTGTACGTTAAGGAATCCCCCTGCTTCTAAGTCGGATTGTCATCAAATTAAAGATGATAATATGACGAATTTGTTTGAATAAGCAGTCAAATAAATTTTTAAATTGAGCATCACATGATGCTCTATAAGTATAAATTTAACTTAACGCTCAAATTTAATTTACTTGAGTAGAACCGAAGAGGAACCGAAATGGAACCGATAGAACCGTCCCCATCCCTATACATAGAAAGCAAAATTGGTCTATTATGCACATTTCATGATTCATAACACGTCACGTCTGGAATAAATACGAAGCTTTTAATTTTTTTAGAGATATAAGTGATGCTGCGGCTGTTATGAAAATGGGATTTTTTTTCTGAGTGTATTTTACCAAAGTTCAATATCAACACTTCGTTAGCATTATCTGTTGTTACGTAAGGAATGCGCTCTCCAATATTAGAAAAATTTATATTCTATGCGCAGCACATAACTTTGCAAACTCGAATGTTAAAGTTAAAATTGTAACTTTTATTTATTCAATCCGCAGAAAATTTAAAATGGTAAAGAAGAAAGCGAAAAGTAAACAGAGAGGAAGGGGAGGTAGGAAAATTATAAAATATATATGAACACATTTAATACAAATTTCAAATAATAAAAAAAAACAATAAAAAAAACAATAAAGAAAATAATAATAAAAAATAATAAAAAAAAAAATTTAAATAAAAAAAAAAATTTTAAATATATTTTGGTCGGCTCTATTAAATAAAATTTATCCATCATGAATAAAGATAATTTCTTTCACGAACGGTAAAGAACTAGAAAAAATTTATTTCTTATACCTTATTTTTTATTCGCAAGACTTGAAATAGGAGAAGAATTATCAAGACTATTAATAAAATCAGCATCAGATAATTTAAGAGAAATTAGATTAGGGGAAATGGTTGCACATTGTTATGGGGTTAAATTTTCATTGGAAACCTTGGATGCTTTTTTATTAGGGTCTTTTGTACGCCTTCCTCTTTTGGCCGGTGGATTAGTTCTCGGAGTTGGTTTGTGAGATTTACCTCCTTCACATTTTGCTTTTTTGTCTCGGCATAGCTTGCAGGCCATTTTGACATAAGGTTTTCTAACTCGTTTAACTTTTACCATTTTATAAATGATTTTATGGTGTTAAAAGTTTTGTAAATATAACGATGGAGTGGAGAATTTTAGAATTTATAAATGTTGTTGCGTTCAGGGATAAGAAATATTTATATGAAAAACATCCGTTTTGTGTACTACCGAATTCATGATAAGTTTAACGCGTAAA